AAAATCGGAAACATGGTGCGGAAACCATGAAAAATTAATAATTATGAGAAACTTAAAATACGCATAAGGTATTGTAGGGCCCACGTCGATACAATTGTGTCAGTAAAGTTCGTTAAGCCATTATGCCAAAGTCTTTGCTTACAATTAGTCACTGTTATCACAAAAAGATGCTATTTTTATCTATTTGTTTAATCAATAACTTGTAAATTACTACAATTATAAAATAAAACCATAGTAGGTACTTTCTTTCGCCAAGTCGGGGAGCGCAATCAGTCATGAACTGTACAGGTTGTAACCTGCTCACCAACTGCGCTTCGGACAAAATTTGCACGGGAGGTGAAAGAACGCATCCCGCACAATCGTACGATACTCAGCCCATCCACTTTTGATGTAAAACTAATGAGATAATCTCGATTTTGTAACCCGCACAATTGTATTGGAGCGGTCCGAAAGGGATAGAAACATACAATGCAATTAAAAGAGACAAAACTATAAAAATAGGCCCGTCTTGAAAATGATCGTAAGCGACAGTGACAGCTCAGATCACATCGATTTTGCGCGTACCCTCTATATTTTTCATAATTTTATACTTTCAAGACGGACGTATATTTATAGTGCTGTCTCTTTTCGTTGCATTAATGTTTCTAAAGCGCTATCTCTTTTCCTCTTTTTACTATCCTAACACTTACTACCTCCTCGAAACTTATGCGATCCTGGTACTTTCTGCGTTCTTTGAGCGCAGATCTGCGCCATCTGCGCGTTGTTTGTTTTCTTTCCATCTTTCTGAAAGATGAAAGTTTATATACCTTCAGGCAAAAGCTTTTTCGACACAAATATTTTAATTTAACCCTTTCGGACCGCTCCAATACAATTGTGCGGGTTACAAAATCGAGATTATCTCATTAGTTTTACATCGGAAGTGGATGGGCTGAGTATCGTACGATTGTGCGGGATGCGTTCTTTCACCTCCCGTGCAAATTTTGTCCGAAGCGCAGTTGGTGAGCAGGTTACAACCTGTACAGTTCATGACTGATAGCGCTCCCCGACTTGGCGTAAGAAAGTACCTACTATGGTTTTATTTTGTAATTGTAGTAATATACAAGTTATTGATTAGACAAATAGTTAAAAATAGCATCTTTTTGTGATAACAGTGACTATCTGTAAGCAAAGGCTTTGGCATAACGGCTTAACGAACTTTACTGACACAATTGTATCGACGTGGGCCCTACAATACCTTATGCGTATTTTATATTTCTCGTAATTATTAATTTTCCATGGTTTCCGCACCATTTTCCGATTTTAAACGACGCTACTATCGCAGAGATGCTCAATGCATCTGGGGATGAGAGCGATGACAACGATAAAAGCTAGTTTCGACTACTTCAGATGAACTACTCCTCTTCTTCTGATGAAGGCTCAGACATTCATGACGATACATACCTCTGAGTATGCAAGCGGCATAGCAGACGAAGCCTTTCAATCGTCAACATCTTCCAGGAGATGCTGTTCATGATCCAAGAGATATTAAAACTCCATAGAAATATTTCGAGCGCTATATTTACTGTTGAGCTCATGGAACAGATGGTTTTGCCCACAAATCAATATTAAATGGCAAATACTGGTATAAAACTTAAACCTTTTTATTCCTTACTGGTTATAAATACGTTTTTCGGAATACATGCCATTGATAAAATTTCAAAAACCCTTACAATTTTGACCCCCACAATTGTACGTAGGAAGTGAAAGGCCCAGCTTGATACAATTGTTGGTATATGAATTTTCCAAGATGGCGGCGGAAAATTTGGAAAATTATAGCAGATTCGTAATCTGTGGCCCCAAATTACCTAAAATTCATTTTCAAAATTACAAATTTCTTTCTAGTTTAAGCGCGGGTCCGAAAGGGTTAAATTAAATATTTAAACCTTTTTTATGTTTTATGAAACGTTTATGTTACCTACCTACCTATAATTTTTTTTTTACAGTTTGTTTATAATATTTTAGGTATTTTTTTAATTATTCAATCTAAAAATATCTTGATAAATTCAGTTGTAGTAAGGTATAGCTAATTTCAAATCGACGTTCACATGTCAGGATGGCCGAGCGGTCTAAGGCGCCAGACTCAAGGCAACTTGCCCGCTATGCGGGTTCGGGCGTTCTGGTCCTCTCTGAGGGCGTGGGTTCGAATCCCACTTCTGACAAATATTTTTGCTTTAGTTATTTTTATGTATTAATGGTAAAACAATAGAAAATTAATTTGATACAAATGTTACTGTGTTATGTTTATATTATTTATTTAGTAAAACTAAAATACAAACAAAATACGAGTAACTGACTGATGTAGAGTTAGATTTGCGATTTTTCCAAAAAGGCATTGGAAAAACATTACCTAATTTTTTTATTGGCGGTCAAGCTGTAGATTCTGGCTACACAGGAGTTGCAGTTGTGGGAACAAGAGGTGGGAATAATAGTCCCCTCTTAATAGGAGCGGCCATTGTAAAAATACTCTCTAGGAGGTAAAAAATATTGAGGGTAAAATGTTACGCTCCGCCTTCTCTGTAAAGAGGGCGGATTACCTCTACCGTTGGAGGGAGAGGGAAACCACGATCATTGTCCCCTATTTTAAGTAACATGGCCGTTACGATAATTTATTGGAGTAGCTTGGTTTTGCTGAAAAAGGAATTTCCCTAATGATATGGTAGAGTCTTTCAAACTCATGTGATATGTAAATATGATCCACCGAAGAGTCACTAATTTTAATCATTTATTATTAAGTACCTACTTATTACTAATTTTTAAATCATTATGTTATTTGTCAGACTAATCTTATTGTAACATTTCTTTTTGATTTGTGTCGAATGGATAAATCGATTTCAGTAAAATTCAGTTAAGAATAATATTACGGTTCGTGTGTTTAAACTTGTACCTCTTCTGTTAGATAACAATACCACCGTGGCAATACGCTATTTTAGCTTATCTACGAGAATTGGTGCCAACTATGATAAGACCCGGTTCCACCAAGGCGGAGCGGAACGCAGAAATGTTTTTCACCAATCAGATTTAATTCTAGCAGGAAGGCGCTAATGCGCTAACGCAGGCCGCTACCAACCGGGAAACATGGAAAGCATTGGGGGAGGCCTATGTTCAGCAGTGGACGTCCTATGGCTGTGATTATGATGATGATGATGAGATTTCATTTAGATTGAAGGAAATTGACAGAAAGAATTCGCCATGATGGAAACCGGGCTTAAAAACATTCATGATTTTTTTCATGGATTAAAAAAACTCTTCAAGCAAAGTGATCGCTATTTTCGTCAATCCGCTCACATGTCAGGATGGCCGAGCGGTCTAAGGCGCCAGACTCAAGGCAACTTGCCCGCTAAGCGGGTTCGGGCGTTCTGGTCCTCTCTGAGGGCGTGGGTTCGAATCCCACTTCTGACAAATATTTTTGAACAATTCCTTTACATAATGAAAACCACTTTTTCTAAACCGTAGTTAACAGATTGTCAAATTAACGTAGATTGATCTGCGATGATTAGCTTGACTTTTAAACTCGTTCATTCGTTCGTTTCAGTCAAATGACGGAACACAGGCCTTCTTCAATTTTTCAACCGACTTCAAAAAAAAGGAGGAGGTTCTCAATTCGACCCGTATGTTTTTTTTTTCTATGTTTGTTACGCGATAACTCCGCCAATTATGAACCGATTTGAACAAATCTTTTTTCGGCTTATAGGTAATACCTCAAGGGTGGTCCCATTTAAATTTAATAATAGAAAAAACAACCCCCAATGGTGGAAAATTGGGGATGAACTTTTTTATACGCTATATCTCCGCCGATTATAAATCAATTTGAACGATTATTTTTTTGTTGAATAGGTATTATGAAAAGGGTGGTTTCATGCGAATTTGAAGAAAATATTTCACCCCCAAGGGTGGAAAATTGGGGATGAACTTTTTTATACGCAATATTTTTAATTTTTAGTTTTTTTTTGTGTTCACGCATTTGAAGTCGGTTTTATTTTTTTAAAAAGTTATTAACTACTTTGTCACTATTTTACCTGTAACAATGGACAAACTGCAGATCAAAAAACTGGCCGTAAGCAGTTTGAACTACAAATAAAAGATACATTTTAGTTGTAATATTAAGTTTATTATATTAAATTGTGATGTACATAAAGGTATTTCTATTTTGGATTAATTCACAGGGTTATTATGTCTAAATTTGAACACCCCAAACATTATACAACTCTTAATATAATAAATTAAAACTATACACTCTTCAAAATATGGTAAATAACAATAATATGGCATTGAAACAAAAGAGTGCGTCCTATGTATTATTATTTATTTACAAATAATGTTAATTTAAATATACTTATTTTATTATAATTAAGTAAATACAAATTGTTACTAGACTTTAAAAGGTACAATAATGATCAGAATATTTAATAAATTCATAGAAATCTGATAAATAATAATGATTTTATTTACGGACTTTTTATTGAGGATTTATAGAAATTATAGAATTAATAAAGCTTCAGCTTGTGATGTTCGTTCGTTCGTTTCAGCCAAATGACGTCCACTGCTGGACAAAGGCCTCCCCCAAGGTTTTCCACAATGAACGGTCCTGCGCTGCCCGCATCCAGGCTCTTCCCGCGACCTTTACCAGATCGTCGGTCCACCTAGTAGGAGGCCTGCCCACGCTACGTTAATAATTAATTAAGCTTGTGATGTTAATAATTAATATTGTTTTCAAAAAAATAATTTGTTTTTAAAAAGTTTATTTAAACACAAAAAGTGTTGAATTGAATAAGACCATTATTAGATTTAAAATAATAATAACTCTTCAAAACATAAGTCAAAATAGTCTGATAGTTATTTTATTAAATAACTGATCGACAAAAAAAACCTTGGAAAATAATACATCACTCAAACAGGACAAATTACTGTATTTTCAATATTATTATTGTATTTTTCAGAATTTTTTTACTGATTTCCAAATAGCTGAACGTTTAGTTCCATTTCAACTCAATAGATGGCGTTAAGTACAGAATGTAACAATCTTAAAAATACTATTTACTCCAATAAAGGATTTTAGTACCTACTAAGTTTGCTTTCTCTATCAGAGTATCCTTTCGCACTTTCTCTATCGGAATATTTCCCGTTATACTTGTTATATCTGTCACTATGTCCATTCTGTCTGTACGGTTTCTCACTGGCACTGTAGTGGATCTCCGATGGACCGATGGTCTTGGACCAGTGGTGCGTCCAGTAGAAGTCGTCAGGGTACCGTGGGTAGGGGTTCTCCCGGCACAGAACTACGCAGTAGATCAGGCTTCCTACCAGGGTTATGAAGCCGAAGATGAGGAAGACTATGCCCAGGATCCTGGAAAGAGATTTACTTATAAATTAATCACAGATTTTACAATCTTACACGACAAAATTTACTTCTGGTTGTCAATCTTAAAGTACCCAGTTATTTGCTGCCTTTTTTAATTCCTACATGCTTTAGTAAATAACCTGTGCAATCTGGCTGGCAACCTGCACAATGTAAAATAGGTACTCGTAGTTCATAGAAGATAGAGAAATATAGTAAAGCCTGAAAACGTGGGGTGATGGTGGGTCTTTCAGACCTGGGTCGACTTATGGTTTCAGTAATATTTCGTTTTCTCTTTCATATAAAATGTCAGTTGATTGTGAAAAAATAATGCCTAATATCGTTTCTAGTAATTAAAACATGTCAAAGGCGTGAGGACTGAATCACTTCGCAATAAAACTGATATTCGCTTCTTTTAATAATAGTCAATAAAATTAGTGCATCTAAAAACACTGTTTATGTTAAAGGTTTTGTTAAATGGGGAAACTTCTTACGACCAAAACAGAGATACAAAAATTAAAAGACCTTTCCAACTCCTACATAACATCTTTCATGTTAATTTTATTACAACTAACTTTAATTCTCAACAATAGTGTTAATTTTCCCACCACATTAAAGGTTCTTTTCACTTGCGGTCTGGCAGGCCCCATACAATAAGGGAAGCCATTAAAAATCACTTACAGATCTTGGAAGAGCGACGAACGGTACGTGCAATTTGTGATCTTGGAGACAACGTTTGGGTTTTTTATTTTGGGATAATTTTCACGGTCTGCCGTATGTGTGTCGTATGACTAGAGCGAGTATACTTCTTGTTTTGTACAGGACAACTTGATCGTGACCGGTTTCAAGGATGGGAAAAAGAAAGCAACTGTTTGTAGAGATACATAATATTACACACTACCCAGCAAATAAAACAGTCCGAGCAGTCAGAAATAGTTGCTATTTACAAACTATAAGGCTGAGTTGCCACCTTATTTTAACCGTGATTATCACGATAACCGGTGTTTTTTGTATCCAGTTTGACAGAATTTTGTTAAAGTTAAAGTAAGATAGTGCAACCCAGCCTTCATGTGGATTAAAATTTAATTTGATGTCCCGTTTTGTACTTAAAAGTATGGTCAATTTTCGAATGGCGAATTGTACAAATTTTTTGTCCGTTTTACCGTAAGTGGATGTGAAATGGGCAAGTGTGACATATTGACGGCTATCTCATTAGCTACTAATAAGATTATTTTTATCATTTACTTGTTGGTTGACAAAATTACACTAATTAAGTGATGATTACCGCAACGTATTTGGGTAAACTCATGAACTAGCTCGGTAACCTACTTTTTGATTTCCAGTCAATAGCTAACTTTTAAACCGGTAAATAATTTAGCAGGAGTGTGTACCCCTGAAAATGCCTGATAAAACACGTTTATGTATTACTACACAAAGCGGCTCAAAGAACTATAGCTTGATGATGAAAGTCCAGGCTTGCTACTGAACTATGGGACTATCTTCAAATGACCAACTGAGCTACACGATTATGTCTTACCACACAAAAAGCGGCTCAAAGTACCTACTGCAGCACGATGACGAAGCCCAAAGTCCAAGCGAGCTACTGAACTATGGGACCTTCAAATGACCAACTGAGCTACACGTTTATGTCTTACCACACAAAAAGCGGCTTAAAGTATTTACTGCAGCACGATGAGTAAGCCCAAAATCCAGGCGAGCTATTGAACTATGCGACTATCTTCAAATTACCAACTGAGCTTTACGATTTTATCTTACCACACAAACAGCGGCTCGAAAAACTGTAGCACGATGACGAAGCCCAAAGTCCAGGCGAGCTACTGAACTATAGGACTTTATCTTTATATGAGCTACTGCATGTAGGTACAGTCGCGGAATGAAAAGGTTCGTCACCTTAGTGTCGGTTTTCGCTTGCACTAGGTACTGTAAGAGTCAAACCTGCCAACATACCAGTGCAAGAAACAGTGCTGCTAACATTTAAATAAATGTGACGTTTGCTAACGAAGAAGGTTTTGCTTATTTTTCTGTCCCATCAGTGCAATGTTACAAAATGTATTTTTTTTATTTAATAGAAATAATAATGGCAGGTTGAACCAACAAGAAGGTTTTAGTTTATCAATCATAAAAATTTTCTTGACAAGATAAATGTCAAACAACTTTAATCTGAATAATTTTGAACTTTACTGACTAACAGTTAAAGATTATTTTGTCTATCTCGAGATTATTCTGTAACATAGTTTCAAAAGGTAATATGTGCTCGCGATTCGTTGAAGCAATCAATTTGAAAACTGACGAACCTTTTCATTCCGCGACTGTACTATGTCCTTCTACCTTACCACACAAACAGCAGCACAATGAACTGTAGCACGATGAGTAAGCCCAAAATACTGAACTATGGGACTTTATTTTTAAGTGAGTTACTGAACTATGTCCCTCTTTCTTACCACACAAACAGCGGCTCAAAGAACTGCAGCACGATGAGTAAGCCCAAAGTCCAAGCGAGCTACTGAACTATGAGACTATCTTCAAATTACCAACTGAGCTATACGATTGTCTTACCACACAAACAGATTGGGGATGTTGCCTGGGTCAAAAAGCAAGAGTTTTAATTAGTCCGTCAGTTAACTTATCAAAAAATACTCTACACGTATTTTTCACTTTTTCAAACTAATGAAAATTTAAAGAGATAAAGCGCCCCAAAGTTCATAAGAAGAGGCCCGTGACGTCAACGCTTGCTTAAAAAAATGCCGCATGTTGTGACGTCGTGCGCAACTTCAAAGCACCATAACTATGTAATTATTTGTTAGATTGACAAATAAAAATATATTGTCCAATATTTTTTGATATTAAACATTACGGACTAAAAAAATTTTTTTAGGCAACTAGCCTAATGACGTAGCCCAAAGTCCAGGCGAGCTATTGAACTAGGACTTTATCTTTAAATGAGCTACTGGACAATGTCCTTCTTTCTTACCACACAAACAGCGGCTCAAAGAACTGAAGCACGATGACGAAGCCCAGGGTCACCAGGATGAGTCCTAGGTTGAGGAGCAGCATGAGGCAGCACATGCCCTTCACGTTCGGACAGAACGGGTTGGGCGCCGCCATGGCGTCCACTTTCACGCCGGCCTAGAAGGAATATAAATGGAAAATAAGTGAAACGTTCTTGGATATTGTCTACGACTATTTCAAAACAAAACAAAGCAACTTTTTGGAATACTTTGGCTTGGGATTGCACTAATTATGTAGTTGGAAGTTCATGTTCATCAGGTGAGATGAAACAAGAGCTTCCCCGTTGTGAGTAAAAAAGGGTAATGTAGGCAAACTTTAAGTACACCTCAAGTTTAAGGTTCAGAGTCGGACAAAGAAACAAGTCAAACATTACGGACTAAAAAAATTTTTTTAGGCAACTAGCCTATTGATCAAAGATATGACCTACATAGTCAATATTCTTAGAAATTGCTGTCATCTATGCGTGGAAGCTAAGGAGAGCGTAGCGCTGGTTTGAGAGTGTGGTATTGATGGTAGCAGGTCCTCATACTATTTTTAATTTTACATTTTTACGTTAAGGTTGATGAAAGTCATTGAGTGGGTTGATGTGCAGGTATAATCAATTCCTCTCACCTTCCTAGAGACCTTGGATCTGTGTGTAGATGCCACGGAGGGCGCCACCGCGCTCCGGTACGAGTACACGCTGCGAGGTGCTCGGGACTGCCGGCTGTGGACAAAAGAGAAGAACATGTTTTGATTGGTTCAGTAATTAATAAATGCCTTGAGGACTAGACGCAGGTTAGAGCGCCAACTCCATTTCCCTCATCATCAGGACAGGCACTGTGGCAGACGAGACGAAGAAGATCGGCAAGACTTGGAGCGAGATCAAACGCGAAGCTCAAGACCGAACGCGATGGAGGACTGTTGTGGACGCCCTCTAGGGGACATAGGACCTTAAGTCATCAGGTCATTTAGTGTCCACTGCAGGACGATGACCCTCTCTATTTACCAGAAGCAAATGGAGGATTTAGTCTACACTGCCCAGTGCCCACGCTAGCCAGACGGGTTTGGGTGGTTAATTCTCTACAGTAAACAAAAGCAAAGGGCTGCTGTAGCATCAGATCTCATCCCAACTGTGGAATGCCGCCATTAATCAGCAAAACTTTTATTATTGGTAAGGATTAGTATTATGAGTGGGTAAGTGGGTATGCTGAGAGAAACGCTTTCGTCATTGCACCGAATATAACTAAAATGACTTTAAATCACGAAATAAAATGAGCTCGTAAATAATGGACACATTACTTTTATTGGCTTATAAAACGACGATGAGTGTTAATTTGTCGATAACAATTTTCAGCCTCGCAGCATCCCTTCCCTCGCCTGCAGTCGACTAAATGAGCTGTCGATTCAACAACTTACTGAACAATATCCCAGTTTAGCACTTTATTGAGGTCAAATACATATCAAACACCAAGGCGCCATCAAACTTTCGGGACAAAACACTCCGTTAGAGGTCGTGACACGCACCTGACGACCCATATTTCCTCGTGGTCATGCCATCCAGTATCATCACATCATTAACGAACACCCTTCACGCTAATCTGAACCTTAAACCCAGTACATAAGGTTGATAAACTATGCCGCTGATCCAGTTTCGCCGACCGCTAGCCATGAGCGCTCCAAATCTGATGTCACGATGGTCACGAAAATTGAAGATGGCTGACAAGTTCACAGACTAGTACAGGTGGAATTTTATTATTTGTTATTGTGAAATTATGCTGCTAACTGCACGAAACTTGTATTACGCCCGTATTCACAAACATTACTATGAGGTCTTACAGTGCGCGTGAAAGCACAGGGTGACACATGAACCAATCACAGAGGTCTATTCAACGCTGTGCGTTCGATTTGTTAGGTACTTCACTTTTTTAAGCAAGCATCGTTTGTAAATACGGGCATTATACCACAGAATAATAATAAGTACTACGTACAGAAGTTTTACTTCGCGAAGGTATTTAAAAAAATGTATGCTCAATGTCATTAACAATATGGTGTAATTTAGCCTGTCTCAAGAGTCAAGCACCATTTTGTTGACAAACGTCAGTGATTGGCACTGCGCCGAAGCTATAGGGCTGACTTCGGTACAATGATGTGACGTGAGGTGCCAAACTGCGGAAAATGGCGGAGGAAATACATGATTTAGCATGAATTATCATGAATAATATTAACTACTTATTTACCTCTCAGTGTCTTGAGGCAACTTAATAAAGTACATTCTGTGTTTTTATTGTTATTTAGGCAGTTGAATACTGCACAGTATTTAGTACACCATTTTCTTTATTTTCTTCCATCATACACAAGAATACGCGTGCGTGAGTCAATGTTCGCTCGTATGTGAGGCCTTGTCGAATAGTATCCTGTAGGTGGGCCATCGTGCGTGTTTTGTTTTCGATGTAAACTCGCGGAGATGAACAGGCCTGGTTATACTAGGTTACCTACTATGGCACGATCACAGGTTCGATCGATCCGATCGGTAAATGCATGTGTGATGTGAAGTGTCAACCACAGTGTCAACTGCGGAAAATGGCGGAGGATAACTTTTTAGAAAATATTTTATAGCCTATGTTCAGAAGATTTTTTTGGATGGTGAAAATGGTAAAATGGTGAAAGAATTGTTCAAATCGGTCAAGTAACTTCGATGATGAGCATTATTCACAAACAAATCTTTCCTCTCTGTTGTATTAGTTTTCTCATTGGAAACATCATCAATTTGAATATGATACCTACACCAAGGTTTATCTCTATGTCCGTATTAACTATAATACTTTTCAATCTTGATTTTATCAATCATAATATCAGTCTATTGACTTACAGGTCAAGGCTTGAAATAACCTCACGATTTTGTTAGAAAAACTTTATAACAGATATTACTGGAGGTGGTAATTACATTACAAAAATATCATTTAAGATCGAACGATATAAATAATGAGATTATGGCAGTGTATCATAATAAATTGTTGGGCAAATTGATTTATTGCCGCAATCGAAATAGTTTAAATCGAATCGTGAGCGCTTTGAATTGAGCTTCTGTTAAAAATTAATAGAAAATATCATAACAGCGTTGTCTTAAAATGTATGAAGAACGTACCACAAGTCAATATCCAATATTGTTAATGCAATTAAACTTCTTCTAATTTTCCGTTCTAAGTTCAAAAGTGACAATTTCGTCTTCGATTCCTGTTCAAAATTTAAACTCAAACTTTTTTATAATTCTTTTTCTGTCGCACTAGAAACTCCTTGGTATGTTAATCTGTCTAAAAAAGAAAATAAATCACCGCGTTTAGAGTTTTTTAGACTTTTTGTAGAGTGGCCAGTATTTATTGAGAGAAATTTTTCAATCATTGCATTCATTGCCGGGAGGGTAAAAAAAATGTGACCATAACGAGGCACGAAGTCCTTAGTCATCTTAATTCGGACAAATATTTAACAAACAAGATGTCAAGTGGTTTGGTATTTGACAGAAGAAAGGAGTAAAAAGTTACTAACTTGAAAGTAAAAAAACTAGGTTGTTGCTGGATTAAAAAATCCTTCCTTTAAACAAGTTTGAACGATGTTCTCTATAGTGCATTAAACTAACTCCAAAAATATGGGACAATTAGGTAAAAACTACTCAAGTTTTTGGTGTTTCCGTTTTTCAGGAAAAATATTTGATTGGAAAAGGGGACAAAGAAATAGTAGAGTACAAGTAAAAAGAGGCTCGATTAGCGGTAGTTGGGTAATACAATCATAGAGATGTCACAATTTAATTTTCTTACTTGACATTGGCAAAAATATACCTTAAGTTTCCTCCCCTCTATAAAGAGGTTTGGTTGTCCCAAAAAAAAACTTGCTAAGTCGTTTTCATTTCAAACTACGTTTCAATTTCATAAGTCATCCGTTTAACTTAAACTCTCGAAGTGATATTTTTGTGACTTCCACACTCATGGTAGACCCTCACACTCTATAAGCCCCTTTATCTATTTTGACAGGCCCCAACAGGCGTACAAAGGACCCTATTAAGAATTAACTAACAGTCGAATTGGTTTGAAGTGGCTATAAAATATCTATAAGTAATTAATTTAAATTCAAGTTACGACTGGAAGGATTTTAATAAGTTATTTTGTTTTGAAATGTTCAAGTGAGAGCTAAAGAAATATGAAGGACTGTGCACGAATGGTTTTGATGATTACGTTTTTTATTTAACGTTGAACTTTTTTAGCTCAGATGATTTAAGTTTACGGTAGGTATGGTTTTGATTGTGTCATTCTTTTTAGTACGTTTCATAGGCTTATAATTTGGAGAGGTTTGTTATTTTTAAGATTTGATGTTAAGTACTTACTTTGATTAAATGGATATAGAAAGAATACCTTCAGCAGATAGGTATTATAAATTAAATAAAACAAAGCTTTATGCCGTTTTCACCATCAATCCCTAATTTTTAAGTGATCGCTATGAAAACAAAATTCATGTTATGTGTTACCATAGGGGTCACTTAAAAATTAGGGATTGATGGTGAAAACGGGCATTAGTTAATCTAATGACTCTTAAATCTGCACTCAGGAATTTATGTAAACAGAAATAGGATTGAGATCGGTTTAAAATTTAAAATTGAGTCAAACTCAGGATTGCACCTTTTCTCAAGTTTGAACCGAGTCTTGAAAGTGGTTCTCAAATGGCGTTAATCTCGTAAAAAACATCACAATAACTCGTACACGAACCAAATTAAACCATTACGCTCAAAGGCAATCGGTTTTGGGTTTTTTACCAAAAAGATTGGAAACGCGACCGCAGGTTGGCCATAGACCAGACCATAGCTAACTCGGTTGCTTTCTACCCGCGTCCTTGGATAAGCTTAGGGTTGTAGCAACTTAGATTGAAACAAGTAAGTAATAATGTATTCTTACTAATGGTAATTTCACATACAAAAGACATACTTTCGTCTTTATTCTAAAAAAACAATGGGGTTGGTGATGTAGCCAATCATTTTAGATACTTTTTAGAGGTGTTAAAATGTGATTTCCCCTATATTTTAACACCAGACTGCAGTGCCCAGGAGCCGTATGTATTGACGTTAAAAGTTTAATAGTGTTGTTTAGAAGTGTATCTCTACAGATTCGTAAACTACGAGTATGTATTTATGCGATTAAAATTTATCCATACATATGGGTACATTTATACACTACATCACTATCATCTCTAAGATTTATAAAGTCACAGGTACCTGACTTGCTCTAGGACAGGGTTTCCCAATTTTTTTTGCCAAGGAACCCTAATTGATTATACTTTTCCTAGCGGAACCTCCGTACTACTCCGCCCGCACGTTTTCAGCGTGGTTTCAAATTCGGGCCTTATAATTATGTCTTTTTTCCTCAACCTTTATGATCTTCTAAAGATCTCTAGATATTTCCATGCATCTTCTTCTTAATATTCCTATGCGTCATCCCTGATTCCTCTGGGAATAGAAGCCTCGACTTTTTTTGGACGGCTCAATCGGCCGTCTTTGAGTCGCCGACGGTGGTTATGTCCATTGTCCTAAATTACGTGACGATGTCCGCACTCTTTGTGATTAGGTGAGGGCAAAAAAATGGGGGGAAAGGAATAAAAAAAAGATGTGCTCTGAGATACTGATGGACGGGCAGCAGTGTTTACAAGACAGTGTAAGCGTTAATTTTATATTGAGACAGGAAC